AGGAGGAGGAGGCTGCCTGGCGACCTCCTGCTCTGCGTGTGCAGGGCACGTAGAGCAGAGGTCGTCCGGACCTTCTCCTCCCTTGACAGGCAGAGAACCCTCTGACTGGCAGGCAGTCCTCTGACAGGCAGACAGTTCTCTGACCCAGACTTCCCGGGTCATATTTTTCTCACAGCGCGGACCACCCGAGGTCTCCTCTCATTCCCCAGGACCGCCCTGGGGCCTAGCGATGGCCCCCATAGGCCAAACATAGCAACGAATTCTGTGCCATGCTCGATGGCGACCCGAGGGGGCCTAGGGACAGACAGCATGTCTGTCCATCGGCCCTTCGTGCGCAGAGCTCAGGGGCAGCGTTTAGGGGGGGAACCGGCTCAGGGGGAGCTGCATCGACTCCCGATCGCCCGTTTATCGCGAACACGGGCCCGACAGCCCGCCCCGCCCAGGAGCGTGCGGACTCGCTGTCGGGGGCCTCTCGCCGATCTGTCGGCGGTGTATCGCCGATTCCAGGTCGATGTTTCCCCCCCTGAGCTGCCCCCCCTCCCCCCCCCACGGTGGGGGCGTTAGTTGAGGACTGTGCCCAGGGGGCCTCAGAACCTGGATGATTCCTTACCTGATGAGGGCGGCGGTGACATCTAATGGCCTTCGGCCCATCCCGCCACCGTGCCTGGGTTGTGGGTCGTAGGCCTCTAGGATGTCCTTTGGGATGCCGCGGGAGGTCTCTCGGGGGCCTTGTGGAGGCAGTTTTGAGGCCTCTTGGGGGCATCTTGGGGCCTCCTGGGGGCATCTTGGGACGGAAGGCTCGAATTGTTGCATCGGGCTCCCTTTCTTGGGCCCCTCTTGGGGCCGTCTTGGGGCTCTTTGGTCGGTCTGGGGCGCCTCTTGGGCCGCCCTGGCGCCCTCTTGGGCCGTCTTGGGGCCCACTTGGGGGCCTCTGAGGCCGTCTTGGGGCGGTCTTGTGGGCCTCTTGGGGCGTCTTGGAGCGTCAGAAGCTCGAAACATCGCGAACCCAACACGTATTGAAACACCGATGGGAAACTCATGAGGTTGGCTTCTCGGGGTCCTCTTAGGAAGGGTCTTTGAGCTCTCCCGAGGCTTCTCGAAGGCCTCTCTGGCCATCTTGGAGCCACCTCCAGCGTCTTGCACCGAGCGCGTAGCGATTCGGGGCACCCGTCTCTGGGTCGTATCGGACGTCTGGTGGGCGTCTGGGACCTCTGGACCCTGACGGGGGCGCTCCTCAGGCATCGCAGGAGAGGAGGAGGAGGAGGAGGAGGAGGAGGAGGAGGAGGAGGAGGAGGAGAGGAGGAGGCGGAGGAGGAGGAGGAGGAGGAGGAGGGAGGAGGAGGAGGAGGAGGAGGAGGAGGAGGCGGAGGAGGAGGAGGAGAGGAGGAGGGGAGGAGGGAGGAGGCGGAGGAGGAGGAGGCGGATGAGGAGGAGGAGTGGGAGGAAGGATGGAGGAGGAGACGTGAGGAGGAGGAGGGAGGAATAAGGAGGGAGGAATGAGGAGGGGGAGGAGAGGAGGAGGATAAGGAGAGGAGGAGGAGGATGCGGAGGAGAAGATTAGGGCCGCCACGGCACGCGAGGGCCGCCGCCGCCCTTGCGCGAAGACGGGGGCCAGGCCCCCCCCCCCCCCCCACACCCCGGACGCTGACGGCGAGCTCGCGCCGCGCGACGACCGACCCGTCCCGGGCAGGCACCTCGAGGTCTCTCTCTCGGCCCGTCTTGGGCCCCTCGCGGCCCCGCAAAGTCTAGGCCTCCTAGATGGGGTCGGAGGATCGCGCCGCATCGCCGATGCATTTGCCGATGCATCGGCGATGCGGCGAGATCCTCCGACCCCATCTACTCGGTCCCCATCTAGGAGGCCTCAAGCCATGGCGCCACCACTCGAGGGAGCCCAGAGGAGCCGCGCCGAGCCCCAGGAGGCTTGAGCTCGGCGCCACCCCAATCTACTTCTAGCATATGTGTGCGTCGCCCTCCCAGGGGCGACGCGCGCACCGAGAAGTCTCACAGTGCATGCGTCGTGGCAGGCGCATTCTGGCCACACCGCTCGAGAAACGATATGCTACAAGATGGGTATACTATATGTTCGGGGCGGACGCACGCCTTCAAGGAGAACATCTAGTGTTAGTATGTCTCTGTGCGTCCCATGAGAGTTCCGGGTCCGGGTCCCGTAAAGACTCCTCAGGAGTGAGGACTGAGGCCGAGAGGGGTCGAGCCAGGGACCTGGGGACACTCCAGCTCGTGCCCGAGGGCACGGTGGCGGATATCCGTGGCCAAGCCTCAGTTGGTTTTCTATCGGCTTCCAGACCCTACATCTCCTATCCAACGGTTCCTTATCCAATGCCCTCGCCGTTTGTTTGGCCCCTCTGAGGGCCTCTGGGAGGCCCCTGGTCGCCACGGCTCGTCTCGCCCGCCCGCCAGCGCCGAGGGACCCGGGCACCCCCGCTGCCCTTCGACCTGGGCGTCGCAGTTTTGTCACACGGGGCGCTTTCGCTCCACATTCGGGCGCTCTCGCTCCACGCTCGACCCCGACGCCCACTATCCCTCCTCGGCGTCCTTGCTTCGCTTCCTTCTCCTGCGTGGCTGGTGCTTGGCATGCCCCCGCCGTGCTGTCAAGACGCTGAAATAAGGACCGCTTTGGGCCCAGGAGGGGCCCGGGGTTCGGGCCGCTCCTTCCATCTGCGCCGTGGAACCTGCTTGTGGCCCTGGCCCGCCGTGGCCAGCAACGCCCCTTCGTTCTTTTCCATGCGCCCCTGATGCTGACTTTTTGTTGCCACGCGATCATGTCTGGGGATGTCCGGGGGGGGTGTATGCATCGACCCCCAAGCGCCCAGTCGTCTTGACTGCCGACAGGGCTCGGCGACGCATCGCCGATGCCACCAAGTCGATGTCCCCCCCCAAATGCGCTAGCACGATGGCTGTGTGGCTGTCCCTCGAAGAGCGGCCCCCCGGCAGGCTCCCGCGGGACCTCGGCGCGATGGCCTCGCTGCGGCAGGTGCGGCTCACGGGCTGCCCGCGGCTCCCGCTGCTGACCGCGGGCGTGTGGCGGCTGGCCGGGCTTGCCCTTCTGGAGAGGCCCGCGCGTCGTGCGCCGTCGCTGTCGTCGTCGTCGTCGTCGTCGTCGTCGTCGTCGTCGTCGTCGTCGTCGTCGTCGTCGTCGTCGTCGGCGCCGTCGTTGCGTCGTCGTCGTCGTCGTCGTCGTCGGCGTCGTCGTCGTCGTCGTCGGTGTCTTCGTCGTCGTCGGTGTCGTCGTCGTCGTCGTCGTCGTCGTCGGCGTCGGCGTCGTCGTCGTCGTCGGCGTCGTCGTCGTTGTTGTTTTCGTCTTCGGAGACGGAGGAGGAGGAGGAGGAGGAGGAGGAGGAGGAGGAGGAGGATACGAGACAACCCACGCCTTCTCCCTCCTGTTTCCTCCTTCCTACTTCCCCCTTCCTTTTCCTCTTTGCTCCTCCCTCCTTCCTCCTCTTCCTGCCCTCCTGCTGCTCTTTCTGCTCCTCCTTCTCCTTCTCCTCCTCCTCCTTCTCCTCCTCCTCCTCCTCCTCCTCCTCCTCCTCCTTCTCCCCCTCCCTTCCTACCCCTCCCTCCCTCCCTTCATGCCCCTCCCTCCCCGCCCGCCCACCCCCTCGTGCCGCCGCCGCTTCCCCCCCTCCCTCGCCCCTCCGCTGCTCCAGGGCGGAGCTGGACCCGCCCCTGCGCCAGCAGCTCTCCGCCTGGAGGTGCGTGCGCCGCGCCGCTGCGCGCTGCGCCTGCCCGCGGCGGGCCGCCGCGCACGCCTGAGGCCCGCCTGGGGCCGAAGCGGAACTTGCCGCCGACGACGACGACGCCGACGCGGCCGACGACGACGCCGACGACGACGCCGACGACGCCGACGACGCCGCCGACGACGCCGCCGACGCCGACGACGCCGACGACGCCGACGACGACGCCGACGACGCCGACTACGACGACGATGCCGACGACGCCGACGACGCCGACGACGACGCCGACGACGACGACGCCGACGACGCCGACGACGCCGACGACGCCGACGACGACTCCGACGACGACGACGACCACGACGACGACGACGACGACGCCGACGACGACGACGACGCCGACGCTGACGCCGACGACGACGACGACGACGACGGCGACGACGACGACGACGACGACGACGACGACGACGGCGGCGGCGGCGGCGGCGGCGGCGGCGACGGCGACGACGACGACGACGACGACGACCCTCGAGGATCGACGATGGAGGTTGCAGAGCGTTTCCGGAAAGTTCTGGAACGTTTCCAATCCTGTTTGGGCCTCTGGGGGCCCCTGGGAGGGCTCCGGGGGCTCCCTGGGGCGTCCACACTGGACCTCGGGAGGTGCCGTGCCATCGAGATGCAGGTCGTCGACTGCTACAGGACGACGTGCGCTCAGGAACTTTCGACCAGCGCGTCGCGCCATCGGCTCTGGCCCACCTCGTGTTGGCTCGACGCGCTGTCCACTTGCTGGTCCCAAGGCGTCCGTCGGCGTCCCGAGTCCGAGCCTCCCGCCACACGGAGCGGAGCGACAAACTATCCGCTTGCAGGGCATGGCGTGTCGCTGGGGCCGCCGCTGCGACACGCTCAGCAAACAACATCTCGACCGTATACGCCGACCCAAGGATCCAACGCGTTTTGAACAACAAGGCGGAGGTTTTTCGCCGTGTTCGACCGGGAAACAATCATGACGGAAGGTTTTCGGACGTCTTCGTCGGCGACTGGAGTTTTCCCAACCTCCTCCTCCTCCTCCTCCTCCTCCTCCTCCTCCGCGGACGACGACGCCGACGCCAACGCCGACGCCGACGCCGACGCCGACGACGCCGCCGCCGACGCCGCCGCCGCCGCAGCCGCCGCCGACGACGACGCTGACGCCGACGACGATCCTCCTCCTCCTCCTCCCTCCTCCTCCCCTCCTCCTCCTCCCCTCGCCCTTCTCCTCCTCCCCCTCCCCTCCTCTTCCTCCTCCTCCTCCTCCTCCTCCTCCTCCTCCTCCTCCTCCTCCCCTCCCCCCGAGGCCGCGGGGCCGCCCCCGCGCGCCCCCGCCGAGTGCGCAGGGCGCCTGCCGGCCGCGAGGGCCCCAAGGGCCCTAGGATGGGGGCGGCGGCGGGCGCGCTCGGCCCGCGCACCTCGCGGCGCGCGCCGCCCGTCGCGCCTGCGGCGCCGGACGCGGGCAGCACTGCGTCGACGTCGGCGACGTCGTCGTCGTCGTCGCTGGCGTCGTCGTCGTCGTCGTCGTCGTCGCCGTCGCCGTCGTCGTCGTCGTCGTCGTCGTCGTCGTCGTCGTCGTCAGTTCACACCGATGATGAGGGCGGTGGCGTACATCTTGCAACAACAGCTTTGCCAGGTGCCCCATATCGTTCTCGACTCCGCTGGCTTCCAGCAGCAACGAGAAAAGGTATCTAGGATTTGCCGCACACTGCAGAGTAGTGCAGCTGGACGTCAAAACTATCTCATGTCAGGCTCCAATGGTGTGCTCTGCAGAGAATCGGTCAAGTTCTTTTCTGGCAGCGACGCGCTGAGGTCCAGCTCGGTCGTCAATTGCACCTTCACCATCCAGTATGTAAAGCTAGACGGGTTTGGCGAAATATGGCCAGTAATGTGTGGCTGGGGAATGGGCGCCCTACTGAGCGGTGAAATCTCTGATGCTGCGTTCTATTTTATTGCCGAGCACGACAGAAGCAATGGCTGATCATACAGGCAGGAAGTGGGGTCGAAAGAGTACTTCAGGGTCAAAGACGACACCATCTTGATCATGTATAGTTCTCGGCAGGATTTTTCGACTTGAAGTCGAATCAGTTGGTTCGTCAGAGGCGGTGTTTTAAGATTTGAGGATAAACAGGTCTAGAGTTTATGAAAGGGGTGGCTCTTTGGATTATTCCATCCACGTGAGGAAGTCCTCTCAGTGGGCCTCTCTCTCCCCCGAATCCCTGCATCACCCGTCAGTGCAAGTCACGTGGCCTGGAGCCATGAAGGCAAGGTTTCACTGGTTGTGCAAAAACAGTAAAGTTGTTGACGGGTGTATTGCTTGGTGGGGATGTGGAGCTGGGCGGGGTGAGCCCTGCAGGAAAAGGAATTACTGCGAGCAGGACCTTCTTCAAGTCTCCAGATCAAGAAAAGCTGAACATCTATTTAGTCTGGCCTGTCTTCCCCCAGTGACGCGCTGCAAGTGTGCCAGGGGTTCTGAACCGTCTGAATAGATTGGACCAGTTGAGTGGGCTAAACCCCTGGATATCTTGGAGGCTCGGCGGCTCCCATCTTGCGAACATGCGAACACTTGCACTATTTTGTGTAGGCCTTGACGCGTTGGAAGCTCACACGACCTTTTGAACTGAGCCTGGTTGGGGCAGGCGGGCGGAGTCCAAGCCTTTACGGTGGTGTGTGCTCCAAACGCTGCTGCACTTGCGTATCCAGGTGGGCAGAGACCCACAGAGCGTTACGACGAGGTCGAGGACGTCAAACTTGCTTCCATGTTCTGGTCGTCAACTTGCTTCCATGTTTTGCTTCCATGTCGAGGACGTCAAACTTGCTTCGATGTCAAGGACGTCAAACGATGTCGAGGACGTCAGTGATCGGTTTGAGGTTGGTCTCCCAGCGAGGCCGCAGCCTGCCCTCGGAGAGCGGCAGACCAAAAACCGACAACGGTTCGTGTTAGGCTCCTGGCAGGTGCTCGGGGTGGGAATGGCAAGACCACATCATCATCAACAACATCATGAACAACATCACCATCACCATCATCTGCGGCGTCGGATGCGGACAAGACGGCGTCGACGTCGGCGACGTCGTCGTCGTCGTCGTCGTCGCCGTCATTGTCGTCGTCTTCGTCGTCGTCGCCGCCGCCGCCGCCGTTGTCGTCCATTGTCGTCGTAGTCGGCGACGTCACCGTCGTCGCCGCGTCGCCGTCGACGTCGTCGTCGTCGACGCCGTGGACGCCCTCGACGTCGTCGACGTCGACGTGGACGTCGTCGTCGTCGTCGTCGTCGTCTTCGTCGTCGTCGTCGGCGTCGCTGACTTCGCCGTCGTCGCCGCGTCGACGGCGACATCGATGTCGTCGTCGACGCCGCGGACTCCCTGGACGTCGTCGTCGTCGTCGTTGTCGTCGTCGTGCTTGTCGTCGTCGTCGTCGTCGTGGTGGTGGTCGTCGTCGTCGTCGTCGTCGTCATCGTGGTCGTCGTGGTCTTCGTTGTCGTCGTCGTCGTCGTCGTCGTCGTCGTCGTCGTAGTCGTCGTCTTTGGACATTTCTAGGTTTTCATGTGCCTGCGGCTCCTTGGAGTGTCATCTGCAGCGGTCTGGGGCCGTCGGGATCCTTCCGAATGGCCGCGGACCCAGTTTGAGGATCGAGGTTCGACGACCGAGCACCGAGGACGCCTGAGGGATCGAACAGGCAAAGTCGCGCAGAAGTTTGTTCCTCGATGTCGGCCCTCGGGGGTCAGTTTTGGGCCAGGGGAGCCGCCAGGAAACGAGTCGGAGTGAAGAGTTGGCCAGAGCGGACCTCCAGAGGGCTCTGGGGGTCCCGGGGGGCCGTCTTCGAGCGCGGGGGTTCGAGGATGGAGGGTGTTGGAGCGTTTCCGTTCGGGGGGGCTCCTCGTCGCCTCCAGAGGGCTCTGGGGGTCCCGGGGGGCCGTTTTCGAGCACGGGGGTTCGAGGATGCAGGGTTTTGGAGCGTTTCCGTTCGGGGGGGCTCCTCGTCGCCTTCGTTGTATTCGCCAAGGAATTTGTGTCAAACTGCATGGTGGGTTCGCGTTGTGTCTGGGGGGCCGTCTTCGAGCACGGGGGTTCGAGGATGGAGGGTTTGGGAGAGTTTCCGTTCGGGGGGGCTCCTCGTCGCCCTCGTTGTGTCAAGCTGCACGGTGGGTTCGCGTCGTGTCGCTTCCGCGGCCGTCCTCGAGCGGGCCTGCAAGGTCGAAGCGCCGCCGGTGCCGCCCGTGGCCCAGAATCTGCTTCCATGGAATGCTCGACGCCATTGGGAGAGCCGCGATCGTTCAAGGGAGGGCCGCGATCGTTCGAGGTTGAGCGCGCAAGTCGTCACGACCTGAACTTGTCGTGCCCCAGGACAGGTCCAGGGGGAGATCGATTGAGGGGGGAGCACGGGCAGGGACGACGGCGGCAGCGGCGGCGACGACTGCGACGATGATGACGATGACAGCGGCGGCGGCGCCGACGCCGGCGGCGACCACCATGACGACGACTGCGACGCGACGGCGACGTCGACGACGCTGACTGCGACGACGGCGAGGCCTTGATGATTGTGGTGGTGGTGGTGATGATGAGGAGGAAGAGAAGGAAAGGGCAGAGAAGGCTGAGGAGGAAGAGGAGAGAAAGGAGAGGGAGGAAGGAGGGGATCCCGCTCGGATGCTGAGTTTTTGTTCTCATGCCAGGAAGCCGGACACGCATGATGTGCGTGGCCGTGGCCGAAGGTGGACACACATGTGGCCGCACGTTTTCCTGTCGCTTGGCCCTCGTGCGGGCGGGGCAAGGCCGCCCTCCGCATGCGTATCTGGGGAGTGGCCTCAACATATTTCGTGTGTGGACCCGACCGTGCGTGGTTCCGCCTTGCGGGTAGTATTGGCTTCGCCCTGCCTTCCGCCGCCCTCCACAGGTGGGTGGGCCTGGTGCAACTGCTGTCCCTGCTCATGCTCCTTCTGCTGCTGTTTCTTCTCCATCCCTATTCCCTATAGCTTACTCCTCCCTGTCGCACCCCGAGGCCAGTCGGAAGGGCGGGCTGGGCGTTTTGCCTGAGACTTTCTTACCATGGGTGATCCTAAAGCTTAAAAGCTTGGGAGCAGTTTCGCACATGGAGGGCGGATAGTTTTCAACATGTGGTTCTTGCCTTAGCGCCGTGCGCACTCGCCCCAAACAAATGCAAGAGTTTCGCGGATTGAGGGCGGGCCGTTTTCAAAATGTGGCTCTCGCCTCGGCGCAGCGCACGGCTGAAACATTTGTTTGATTTTCACGGATCGAGGGCACGTCTTTTTCAAGATGTGTTTCTCGCCTGAGCGCCGTGTGCATTCGTTTTAACATATTGCAAGAGCTTCCAGGATTGAGGGCGGGCCGTTTTCAAAAAATGGTTCTCGCTTCAGCGCCGTGCACATTCGTTTCAACAGTTTGCAAGAGCTCCACGGATTGAGGGTGGTCCTTTTCCAAATGTGGCTCTCGCTTTAGCGCCGCGCGCACTCGTTTGAAACATTTGCAGTAGTTTCACGGGCTCTCATGGTCAAAGTGCCAGAAATTGCGCCTTGGAGCGATTTCGAGCTGTCAGGGCGCAACAGTTACGTCGATTCGCGGTCTTGAAGTCCCAGGGGTGGTGGTCTGGCAGGATCGTCAACATGCAACATTCAGGTTGCTTCGTGGCATTGGGCTTCCGAGAATGCTGCTTTGGTGTGCGTCAGGACTGTCAAACGGCTGTCTCCCAACGGGGCATGTCCATTAGTGGAAATCAGCCGTTGCAGGGGCCAATGAAGAGGGAACTTGAAGGGAGGGCTTATTCCAACATCGTTGATGAATCATGTGTTTGCATTGGTCCTTCTGCTCCTCCTCCTCCTCCTTCTCCTCCTCCTCCTCCTCCTCCTCACCTCCTCCTCCTCCTCCTCCTCCTCCTCCTCCTCCCCTCCCCAATCTCCCTCTCATCTTCTTCCCTTCTGCTACTCGCAGCGGTTCGCAGTGCTTTGTGTTCGTCGCGTTTTTAGGACCTTCGGATCGGACCCGCTTCCCCAGGGATGTTCAATCCTTCTTCTTCCTCCTCCCCGCGCATTCGGCAGTGCATGCTCCTACGTGCCCGCGTGCACGTGTGCAACGCAGCTCTTCCAGGACCTTCTCAGAAATTGTATTTTCTTTGTAGTAGGCTGGGCCCTACTGGAGCAGGGCGGTTTGCGGAACGGTCTTGGGGAGGAGCGGTTGAGCGGAGGAAGGGGGAGGGTAAGTGGGATGGGCAAGGGGAGGCGGATGGGATGGGGAGGGGCAGAGGGGGAGGGAGAGAGGGATGATGATTCGATTGC